GAGAGACACATGGAGCAGAACTCAAATTCTTACTTACTGGCGAGGTTGTGGAGAAACTGGAACCCTGATACTGTTGGTGGGAGTGTAAAATGGTGCAACCCCTGTGGAAAGCAGTATGGCGCTTTCTCAAAAAGTTGCAAATAGAGATACCATTTGACCCAGCAATTCCACTACTGGGAATATACCCTGAAGAGACCATAGCTGACATCCAAGCAGATATATGCACACCCATGTTTACTGCAGCTTTGTTCACAATAGCAAGGAGTTGGAAACAACCTAAGTGCCCATCAACAAACGAATGGCTAGAGAAGCTGTGGTATATTCGCACAATGGAATACTATGCTGCATTAAAAAACAAGGAACTCATGCAATATTATTCAAAATGGTTGACTCTGGAGAACATTATGCTGAGTGAAATATCCCAGTCACAAAAGGACAAATATTACATGATGCCACTGTTGTAGAATGGGACTAACCTCAGGGTTGGGGAGAGACTGAGTAAGATGTGTTCAATAATGTATACTGCACTGAAACAGAGGAGGGAAAAAACTGTGTTAAAGAGATATGTGACTAGGTATTTCTGTCATCACAGGAGTCTAGAGCTATGGCTACATGGTGGAGGGGACCTGGGGGAGGGTTTGTAAAACAATGAAAGAATCTTTTCTTTTACTTTTCCATAATTTTTGACTCATGTACTTATAACTTGTTAGTTAAATTTGTGTCTTCTAGGTTGCAACCCCCCCATGATACATCTTCAGGGATGTGAACATGTACGGCTAAGCACAATTAATAACAGTGCATCTAAATTCCAAAATCAATCTCCATAATAATCTATGTGTTTCCTACTGCCAAAGGGGCCCTTTAGAGTAGTGAGAGAAGATCTTCACCCTGAAACCCACAGCATCCCTTTTCAGCAGGAAGTAGCTAAGAGAATACGCCATCCCCTTTTCGTTATGAATCAGGGTGAAGTCTCTCTCAGGGAGGAGTGATAGGGAATGGCAAAGGACACACTGACAAAGGAGATTAATCAGAACTGACTTTGACAAGCACTGTGGCAATTGGACAATTAAAACAGACATTCGGATGGCGGGGAAGAAGAACAAACTGGGAGGAGGGTAGAGAGAATGGTGCAGCAATGAAGGAATGAAAACCCAAAATCCCTGTAAATGCTCATTAAAACTAATAAAATTTAATAAAAAAAATTCTTACTTTCTAAGAAGAGAGACAGCCTGGAACAGTAGGGAAGAGAGGACACCTAGACTCTCTTTAAATACTCTTTAGCCCTAGAGCTGAGCCTATGTCAAGATCCCCTTTTAGCGAGATAGCAGAGAAACACACAGTATAAGAGATTCCCCTAAGAGCAGTACTGTCACTGTGCTTTTTTAAAACAAGCAAACAAACAAACAAACAAACAAACCAGCCAATATACAACATCTGTATGAGACCAAAAGGTAAATTATTTCTTCTCAAGCAAAGATTGAGAAGAGAAGAGGGCAGGGAAACTGAAAAGGGAAGAAGTAGAGGTTAATGAAACAGAATATTGGCACAGTTTGTAAAATGTAACCACTGTCACTGACCAGTTTGTATGGAAGTTATCCAGTGGGAACTGAGCTTGCTATGTAATATTTCATTAAAAACAAACAAAACCCCAAAACTGACTGGAGTGAAGGTCACCATCTAAATTTCAATGTCTTAAGCCAGTTAGATGGAAAATGGCAGTTGGGGACTTCATTAGCCCTTTGAGCTTTACTGTAAGTCATGGTCAGTTTTAGAAGCTGCTAGAGCTCCAGATCCATTTTAAACATTTTGCATCTTTTTATTCTATATTGTGATGGATGAAACTCAGGTTCTGAAATTGTTATTGTTAGGAGGTGCCATCAAGTTGAGTATTACCCATAGTGACCCTTTGAGCAGGGATATAAGCTCTGTCCTATCCTGTGCCATCCTTATTATCCTCGACACACTTGAGCCCATGGTTGAGTCACTGTGTCCGTCTGTCTTGTGGAGGGTTTTCCTCTCTTTTGCTGGCCCTCTACCTTTCCAAGCATGATGTCCTTCTCTGAGAAATAAGCTTTCCTAGCAACATGGCCAAAGCAGGTGAGACAAGGCCTTGCCACTCTTGCCTCCAAGGAGCACTCTGGTTGCACTTTCTCCAAGATGTTATCTGTTTGTTCTCTTGGCAGGCCAGGATACTCAGTAATCTTCTTCAGTGCCACACTCAAAAGCATTGATTCTTCTTCTGTCATCCTTATTGATTGTTAGGCTCTCAGGTGCATAGCAGGTGATTGGAAAAGCCATGTCTTGAATAGGGTTTGAGTAGGACAGTCCTGAAATTAGTATTCTGATAAGTATAGATAATTGGAACTGCGAGATAGCCACGTGAGGATCACTTGTGCCTTTAGAAGACAGTTCAGTGTATCAGGTGATGTACTCACCTTGAGGCAGCATTGGTTGACTTTCACTTGTTGCTCCTAATTTTAGTGAAACTCTGTATTTGAGCAGCCCCAGATGTACCCCTGATTGGAAAGACCCTTACCAAAGGGTGGACATAGAGGAAGCAGGACCTGTGAGAGCACTTGCCCAGTCATTGTGTGGTGGTTCAAGCCTGTAGCTTGGTCCTTGAGCTGTTGATGCCCAAGGGTGACTCAGGAAAGACCTGGTAGAGGATGTGGCTTCTTGAGTGATGTGTGAGGGGGCATTAACCTGTTCACTTCATGTCAGTTCCAATTCATAGCAGACTGACAGGACAGAGTAGAACTAACTGCCCCATGGGGTTTCCAAGGCAGTGATCTCTAAAGAAGCGGACTGTCACATCTCTTTCCCATGGGGTGAAGCTGGTGACTTTCAACAGTCAACCTTCTGGTTCGATGCTGAGTACTTTAACCACTGCCACCAGTGCCTAACCACACTCATTTCGCATCTTCTGCCAGGTCCCAGGCCACATCAGTCCAACAACTCTTTTCTTCCACATGGTGCCCCCAAGGGAATGGCACTTCTCATGGGTAAAACCGCTGTGTGGTACCCAAACCAAACCCACTGCAATCTGAGACCAACTCAGAGGGACTTTTCATTGATTTTTTTTTATGCTGTTATAACTCCTTAAGAGAGGAGACTGCCCATCTTTCTCCCTGAGAGCAGCTTGTGGATCCAAACCTCCCATCTTTGAGTCAGCAGCCCAGTGGGTTTTATTACAACCTCATACTCAAAAGCTTCCCACCTGTTGCAGTTCATGAGCCAGATCTAAGCCAAACCCACACAGATCTGCATAACCCTTGGCTCTACCTTCTGCTGGCCTGAACGTCTCTTCTCCATCCCGTGTTCTACTAAACCAAAACCAAAACCAAACCAGTCGTCGTAGAATGTTCATATATGTTTGAGTAGAACTTTGCTTCATGGGGATTTCCCATGGCTGAGTTTTTGCAAGATCTCCAGGCCTTTTTTCCCAAGGCATCTAGGTAAACTCAGACTTCCAGCCTTTTATTAGTCACTGAGTGCATTAATAAACCCTTGCACGACCCTAGGACTCTCCGTACTCTACACTCCTGCCTCACTCACTGCATGTCCTCCGCTGAACCTGTGCTTGTTTCATGCCCGTTGCTCGATGTCAGGGCTGATGTGGGGTCTTGTGGCCATCTCCTTCCGGAAGGAGATGAATCCTTCAGTCTGGATTGAGTGTCTGACCATTTGTGTCTGGAACAATCTAGGTTTACCTCCTTCAAAGCACAGCCAGGTGATACTGACTCATTGTCTGATCTGTGGACTCGAGCAAGATGCTTTGCAAGGAATCACCAGTCATATTTGATGAGGACAGTGCAATGTCATTGTCTGGATTTATAGCTTATTTCTTCCGTGTCTCTGGAAGCAGATAACTATATTTCTGCTCCTTAGTGTTCTCATCTTTAAAATGATGATAATATTATAGTTTGTTGTTATATGCCCTTGAGTCAAAGACAACTAACAGTGACCCTGCTAACAACAGATCTGTTCCCTGCCATATCCTGTGCCATCCTCATCATCCCTGCTCTACTTGAGCCCATTGCTCCAGTCACTGTGTCAGTTCATCTCATTGAGGGTCTCTCCCTCCCTTGCTGACCCTCCACCTTTCCAAGCACAATGTCCTTTGCCAAGGACTGGCCTCTCTTAGCAACATGCCCGAAGTATGTGAGACAGAGTTCCATTGTCCTTGCTTCGAAGAAGCACATTGATTGCACTTTCTGCAAGACATCGGTTTGCTCTTTTAGCAGTCCATAAGCTATCCAGGCCTCTTCTCCAGCACCACAACTCAAAGGCGTCGATTCTTCTTCTGTCATATTATTCACTGTTGTGAGGATTAAATCCTATACCATTCTAGATCCGTGTGTCTCTGTCCTCCCACATCTCACCTGCGCTTTCAGTACGTAGTATGCAGGAGTGGCATCACTTCCTAAATAACATGCCTCCGGAAACTCTATGAACTTTGATAAATGTCGATAGCTGTGGAGGGGGCTTCAGGCCTTTTGTTCATAGGGTCGCTATGAGTCGTGCTTGACTCGAAGGCAATGAACAACAACAACAGCAGGCACTCAGTGACCGTAAAGTGCCTAGTTGGTGGCATTAGTCTAGTTGTTATTGATCTCCTTGAAAAACGACTTGGAGATAGTAAAGGAAAGCAGAAATGGCCTGCCCAACAGCTGTCTCTTTACACTGTCCACACCGATGTGTGTGTGTGTGTGTGTGTGTGTGTGTGTGTGTGTGTGCGCGCGCGCTCCGGAGTGGGCAGGTGGAAGCAGGGCTCCCTGACCTCTGTGGTGGTGGTGTTGCCACTCTCCTCTGATGGAAGATCCTGCAGTCCCACGTGCGTAGATGTGCTGGGAGGCTTGGGAGAAGGGGCTACTTTCCACAGCATTCACTCCATGGTTATATCAGACAAGCGAAGTTCCCCAGGAAAGCAGAGTGCGCACTCCCTGGTGTGTTCTCTCTCCCTTTGACACCTCTCTCTCCTGCTTCCCTCCTTCCTCTAGCTACTACGCTGTCCTCTACCCTATGATTTACCCCATGAAGATCACGGGGAACCGCGCCGTGGTGGCCCTCGTCTACATCTGGCTGCACTCCCTCGTCGGCTGCCTGCCCCCCTTGTTCGGTTGGTCCTCGGTGGAGTTTGACGAGTTCAAGTGGATGTGTGTGGCCGCGTGGCACCGGGAGCCAGGCTACACGGCCTTCTGGCAGATCTGGTGTGCCCTCTTCCCCTTCCTGGTCATGCTGGTGTGCTACGGCTTCATCTTCCGCGTGGCCCGGGTCAAGGCACGCAAGGTGCACTGTGGCACTGTGGTCATCGTGGAGGAGGATGCCCAGAGGAACGGGAGGAAGAACTCCAGCACCTCCACCTCCTCCTCGGGCAGCAGGAGGAATGCCTTTCAGGGCGTCGTCTACTCAGCCAACCAGTGCAAAGCTCTCATCACCATCCTGGTGGTCATTGGAGCCTTCATGGTCACCTGGGGCCCCTATATGGTTGTCATCACCTCAGAGGCCCTGTGGGGGAAGAACTACGTCTCCCCGACCCTGGAGACTTGGGCCACGTGGCTGTCCTTCACCAGCGCCATCTGCCACCCCCTCATCTATGGACTCTGGAACAAGACGGTTCGCAAGGAACTACTGGGCATGTGCTTTGGGGACCGATATTACCGGGAACCATTTGTGCAGCGACAGAGGACGTCCAGGCTCTTCAGCATTTCCAACAGGATCACAGGTAACTTGGGAACTGGTCAGGAAAGCTCAGCTGCTCAGGCAGCGTGGTGGGGGAGTTCTCTCAGACTAGTGCCCAAAGGCCTAAGCACAGATTTCCTTTTAGGGAAGGAACATCCTAGAGCATCCGCTGTGATTCCCAGGAACTCCCTAGAGCTCAGCAGCACCAGGATATGCTGAGGATGAGGCCACCGTAAGGCCTCACAGTGTATCCCAAATGAGTTAGAGGACTGCATTTCAGAAATCCCTTCCCCTTCCCCTGCCAAGGCCCACTGGCTTCCAGAGTAGAATTATTTCTATACTAGAGTGAAAGAGTCCCCAGCATTAGACCAGACTGCTTTCTCTTCCTGGCAAATCCTTTTCTTTCCATGCTCCATCTTGTCAGCACTTTCTCATCACCACTCACCCCTCACTCAGTTCCTCGGCCAGCAGACGTCTTCATCCGCAGTCATACTTCATGTGGATCTTTCATCATAGCTTAGTGCTGTCCTTATTTTGTCCCTGTTGATTAAGAGCATGTCACTGCCACCCTTTGCCTACTGAGTTGTCACTACCTGGTAGCATAATAGGCGTTCCTCTACTGTTCATAGGGTTTTCAGCATAATGTGTCACTATCTGGTAGCATAGTGTCCTGGTAGTATTCTGTGGTCGGGCTGCTAGCTGTAATGTAAAGTTGGCAGTTCAAACTCACTAACCTCTCAAAAGTGAGCCACTGCCCAATTCCTTAAAAGGGAAGGTGGAAGTTCCCTCAATTTCCCCAAGAGAAAAATCGAATAGAAAGGTTGGATGACTTCCCTAAAGTCACTGGCAAGAGATTAGAACTAAAATCAGAACTTGCTCTTAAAAAAAAATACTGGTTTGCTTACAAAGTTTATGTACATTGTGTTTTGCACTAGTCTTCATTTACGTTGTATTTTATACAGTCATTCCTATTAGTTATGTTTTCTAAAATTCATCATCATTGAACTATGCCCACCATTAAATTACCATGTGTTTCCATATGCACGCTGGATCTTTCCCTTTTCCTTTACCCATCTCTCCCTCCACACACCAAGTTGTATGATTCAATGATTTCCCCCCTGCCCATCTTCACTCCTTTGCTCCCATCTTCCCTGCCTTGAATCCTCATACACATTTTACGAGTTATCTATTTCTACGACAATGGTCGTATACAGTTGCTTGTCTTTATGAGACTGAAATAGTCCACTCAGCATAATGCTCTCCAGTTCCTCCTAAGTTATGTAGTAATTTTTTAAATCATTGCTCTTGAGTGCTGTATAGTATTACATTGTGTGGATGTACAACAATTTCTTAGTCCACTTGATTGTGCCTAGGCATTTGAACTGTTCCCATATTCTTGTGATCGTGAATAACACTGCTTTGAACATTGGTGTACAAATCTACATTTGTGCCTTAGTTCTAATCTTTCTCAGGGTTTATTCTAAGCAGTAAAATAGGCCTTTGAGAAAATACCAGACTGCCTTCCAGAGTGGTTGTACCATTTTACAATACATCCCAGCAATAGTGTATGAGAGTTCCTATCCCTCTGCATCCTCTCCAATATTTATTGCTTGCTGTATAGGTTGCTATGAGTTGTCTACAACTCAACGGCAGCTAACAACAATAACAACGACGACATAGAGCTGCTTTGGCCTAATGGACAGAAAGTTATGCTACCAAGCCAAATGTGGGTGATTTTAATCTGTGGCCCTCAGGCCGGGTTCAAGTTGTCTTCCTGTCAAACATTCTTCTAAGTGGTATAGCACTGGTCTGTGCGTTGCTGTACAGAGGTAACTCGTGGTTGCTGTGATGCTGAAGACTGTGACACTGATGTGCCAAACGTGGTAATGGGTACCCATGGTGGACAGTGTTTGCTGGAGCTTCCCGACTAACACAAGCCTGGAAGCGGGAGTGGCATCCGCTTCTGAAATGGCTTGCCTCCAGAAACTCTGTGTATAAACAGTGCTCAGGCCTTTCGTTAATAGGGTCGCTATGAGTCATCTATGACTCGACGGCACCTAACAACAACAACTACAATAGTTAGTTTGCCACTGTTCCTGGGGTGAGATGGTATTTCATTGTGGCTTTGATTTGCATCTCTGTTATTGTCAGCTATTTGAGGATTTCTTCATGTGTCTGTTGGCCGTCTGAATGTCTTCCTTTGTGAAAGAAAAGTCTTTTCATGTCATTTGCCCTTTTTGTAATTTGGTTATCAGTCTTTTTCTTGTGGAAGCCCTCTAGTTCTGTAAACTTTTGTTTTGAGACCCTTGTCTGAGATGGTATTACCAAATGTTTTCCCCAGTCAGTATGCTTCCTTTTTGCCCTTTTGGTGAGAAAAGTTTTTGATGTGCACAGGAATTTAATCTTTAGAAGGTCCATTCATCAGTTTTATCCTGGTTGTGTATTTCTGGCTGTATTTGTCAGCCTTTTCCTACCATGGGCTAGTCCTTTTAAGCTTGGTCTACCTGAACTGGTCCTTCTTATAGATATGAGTTTATAACTGCTTTCTTCACACTCTCATATGAGTAATCTGTAAAGATTTACAGCCTTGGAAACACAGTGACGAGTCAGTATGACTTGGGATCAACTCAGCAGCAGTGGGTTTGGTTTTTTGAGGGAGCATGTGTCAGGTAACTCCACGATTTGATAACTGATGTGGTGCTAACAGGTTTCCAGAGAAGAATTGGATGTATAGTGCAGAGTTTTCTTTCTCAATCTCTCGTCTTCTCTGACCTTGACATTCTTCAGGAGTATTGCTCAGATATTTTGTAGAATGCTCCTCACTCTGTACTTCTCTGATGTTTTCTCAAGGTGAGAATGAGAGTGTACATTTTGACAAGGATACCACAGGGGTGATGTATCTTCTTCATTCACCACACAAGGAGGTGTGATGTCAGTGTGTCTTCTTATTAGTGATGCTAAACTGGCTTTCTTGGTTAAGATGGTGTCCGTAAAGCCATTCTCTTTCCCACGGTAATTAATATTTGAGGGAGAGGGACTTTGAAACTATGCAAAGTACCTTCTAACACTTTTAACTTTAACCCATTACTCTGTACACTGGCATGTACAACAACTGTTTTGTTTTAATGGCAAAGTAGCTTGTTTGTGAAGATGGCTCAGGACTGGGCAGTGCTTAGTTCTGTTGTACTTGAGTCATTATGCGTCACAACTGACTCAGTGACACCTAACAGCTTGATTTTTATGTCCACGTTTTAGGGAGACCTTGACAAGCCGTTGAAAGATTGGTAAGATATCAGATTGTACCTCTCAAAAGAGCCAGTTCAGATTTTAGTTCTAATCTCTTGCCAGTGGCTTTGGGGACATATTCAGACCTCTCTAGCAGATTTTTTCTCTTTGGGAAATTGAGAGATCTTTCACTTTTCCTTTCAAGGAATTGGAAAGACATAATGACTCGTGATTATTATGAGAAGACGAGGGCATAGTCCTAATCCACAGACAGCTCCTCTCGAGCAGTTCCAATCCATCAATGGGTCTGCTCGAGAAATACTGGCATTTTCCTTTCATGTGATTTATAGTCTCGGGAACTTGCTGGTAGGCCAGCTGTGAGTCAGTTCTGTCTCATTAGCATTGAGAAGGAGGTGGAATTATGACCAGAGGGCATGAGAATGCTTTCTTTCCATGTGAGAGACCCAGATTTGATTCCTGCCTAAAAGATCTCCTTAGCTATTTGTCACCTCTGCCATGTGTTGATATAATGCTAGACAGATTTAAGCAGCTTCAATGCTAATATGGACTAAGTAGAAAGATCTCGTGTTCTGCTTTTGAAAATTGCTGTTGTTAGAAGCTGTCAAGCCCCTTCTGACTCAGGCAGATTGAAAGATCTGGATCAGGCAACGGACTGAAACCTTGCCCGATCCCATGCCAGCCCCACAATCTCGAAAGTGCTTCAGCTGGTTGTTAGAGCGACTGTGTCAATGCATCTCATTGAAAGGCAGCCTATCCTTCACTGACCTTCTGCCTTTCCAAGTGCGATTAGGCAGTGAAACCCTGTGGTTCACAGTGGTCCATCTGTAAGTGATCATGGGATTGGTGCAGGACGGAACAACATTTTGTTCTGTTTGTACATGGAATTGCCATGCACTTCGGGCCTATGCCGTGGTAAACAGAAACTGTCATCATGAGACATGATGACAGAAAGTCCGTCCCATAAATCAGTTAAGAAAGAGACCAGTTCTGTTTTATTTTGTGAATTGATGGAGAATGACTTAAGGGTTGGGGAAGGGTCTCCTCATGGTCTCATCTGCAGGGAATTGTGCCATTAACCCAAAATGTGCATGTCTCTGGCTGTTCAGATCCACCGTACCAGGGAGAAAGATGATTAGTCTCTTCCTGTTACAGTTTACAGCCCTTAGCCCTGATGGAGGTCACTATGAGTTGGAACCAACTTGTCGGCAATGAATGAATTAGGTGCTTCTTAAGAGAGGAAGGAAGCTTTGAGCTTCTTGTTTTTTAATCAAAAGAACACAGTTTCCCTGAATCCACGTATTTTAACTCAGAAATGCTTCTTCCCCTCCTCCTCAAGCCACATTGTCCGAGTAGGACCTGTGAGCCATGTGTACATTCAGCGTGTGCCTTATTTCCACCCGTGATGTATTTGTTCAAACTTTGTAAACTCACTCAGCTTCTAGGCAGAACAATCACGGATGTTTTCTTGTTTCACTGAAGTTAAGAATGAGGAAGGCTGAGAGAGAGGGAATAGAATGGAGGAGGAGAGAGTAGCTGGAACACAAAGAAACATCTGCTTTCTGGTCTAAGATTTTCCATGTGAGTCTCTTTTGATTATGCTGGGAAAAGCTCAAGAGGCTGTGAGAATAGGTGGGAAAATTCCAGCAGTAGTTTGCATTGGAAATCCAAGGACACAAGCAGTCTTCTAAGTAGGGAAAGACCGTATGGTGGGCTGCTCCTGAGTAGAAGAGCTTGTGGGATGGGTTTGACCTTCCCTGGGATCCTTGTTGACTCCTTCTGAGACCCTGATCCCTGACAAGGGCGTAGTGTCAGTGAGAGACTTGGAAACCAAGAAGAATGCAGCACCCTGTCCAGCTCCACACCCTGTGCTGTCTCTGCCCTGAGGATTGAGAGGCAAGATCCTGGTCTTCTGAGAAAAATCTGACTGCGCCCTGGCCTGACACACTCTGTGCATGACTTTGATCTTAAGCATGGTGTTTGTTTGGTTTTTTTAAAATTTTTTATTTTATGCTGGTTTACTTACAAAGTTCGTGTACATTCGGAACGAAAACATTAAGGGAAAGAGTTAGTGAGATATATGGAAAGTAAACTAACTGAGTGTAATGTCACTGTATCCTAGTAAAACGTTTTCTGAAATGACACCCCTGTTTGCACTTGTCATCATTTTCTCTGTCTCTGCTGCAGGGCTACATGATTCCTTTCTGTTAGCAGATCACTGAATGTGACTGTAGATGGACCTAGACTTCAGAATCGTTTGCAACATACATAAATATCTTCAGCAACATCCTTTATTCCTGTTTTCTTTTTGTATCTAGTCCCACTGAAATCAGAATATACAAAGAGGAACAAAATAAATGAAAGGGGGAATTTTAAGAAAGGTAAAACAAACAAACAAACACCAAAACCAAAACCCAAAAAAGTTCGTGTAAATTGTTTTGTCACACCAGATCTTTCCCATTTCCTTTACTCACCCCTCCCTCCAACTTCAGCGCATTTCTAAACCCAAATCTACCCCCTCCTCCCACCAGCCTTCTTCCAGGGACCTCCTGCATCCATTCCAAGGTCAACCATGGACAACCAGGAGGTTCTGTCTTATTTTTACACCTCTTGGCTTGTCTGGGCTCCAGGAAGCTTTAGCTAGAGACATCAGTAGAGACAATTATAAACCCTTCTAGCCAGTACTTATAAGAAAAGATGGTGAGAGATTTCACAAATACCTGGGGTTTCCCAGCTGAGTTGGGATACCAGGAGTCTTATAAACTACTGTCATGTTATTTTTTTTACACATAGCCGACTTGTGTCGTACATGATGGATTTTGCTGTTCTCATTCTGTTAGCCCCAAATTGAAGGAGTGCAAGCGCTCACATTTCCCTGTGGGGCCGAATACTACAGAGCTGCCAAAATAGCTTTTGCATGTGAGGTCTCATTAGCAGAGTCCTACTGGGAGTGCTTGCCTAGGAATTTAGATTTCTGGGCTACCTGGAGGCTGACAACCCCATGGCGGCAGGTCATCCTTTGAAGAGAAATTGTCTTCTGATCCTGAAAGGTGAGCTCAGTTTAGTTTTAGGCTCTCAAACCACAAATGCAAAAGCTTACTAATGATTCTAGACTAAATGAGCAAAGAAGATACTTTCAGGAGAAGGGACCACTAGTGCTTCCTAGCATCTCCTTTTCCTAAGCAAGCTCAGACCCTTCTCCCCAGACAGCACTCCAGAGTCCAGGCATCATTGGGAGCGACCTGGAATGTGGCTGGGCATCATGGCAGACCAGAGTGGGCTGAAGGGAGGCACGAGGGACCTGCAGCTTTTGACTTTTCCTAACTGACTTCCCCCCGCCCACCCTCCCCCCCAGGATCTTTTTTCAGGTCCTTTTGGCATGAGAGGTTTTCTGGTTCAGGATGTCTGCTTCACCTTAGACTTTTGTTCCTGCTGTTTCTGTCCCTGAAAGGCACTGCTGTAGAATTCTGGGAACACAGACAACAACCCCCTGCCCCCTTAAAACCTGTGTCCCTTCTTCTTTCACTCTCTCTTTTTTTTAAAAAAAAGGTGAAATTGAATCTAGCTCTGTTCCTGTGTTGATGAGAAAATTCTCAGGGTAACTGTGGTTCCGCTGTTATAATCTCAGTGTATTATTAGATGCTGTTGAGTCAGAACTGACTCATAGCTGACCTTCCAGTGAATTTTCAGAGGATGTAATTAGCACAGGAGCAGATAGTCTAATTTTTATCCCCGTGGGACACCTGGTAGATCCGAACCACTTGCCTTTGGATTGGCAGCACACCACCTTACCACTATGCCAGCAGAGCTCCCTGGTCAGCACTGCATTAACACAGAAGCGAGAGGTGCCACCTGACTGCCTCGTGGCTCTGAGCTGACCCACTCTGGCCTGGCTCGAGTGTTCCTCCCGCTGGGGGAACCAGCACGGCTTCTTGGCTTTTCCCACAGCCTCAGAGGCCCCGTCCAAACCGCTGTGGCTTTAGTCAGCCCACAGCCTCCATCCCAACCTGGCTTCCAGCCGAGGAGTCATGTTCTGAGACCATGACAGTGGAGGGTGTAACAGGAAGGATCTTAGGACAGAGGAAATATTTGGGGTCCCCTCAGACTCTCTTAGGGGCCCCTCTCAGTTTGTTCCCCACCTTAGACACTAACCTTCAGCAAAGGGTCAGAGTCTTGCCAACGTGGAGTCCTCAAATCTGAAGGGGCAGAGGTTGTTGGAGAAGCATGCTGTGACTCGTCCTCTCCTGCTCAAGGGAGGAAAAGAGTGTGCTCTGTCACCGTGGAGCCTGAAGAGAATTCAGATGGAATGAAAGAATGGGGTCTTCTCCCCGCTGAGCGTGAGCAGTGAGGGAAAGCCGGGCTGTCATGACCGTAGGTCATTAACTCTGTGCGGCAGGAGCGTTTCCCTGTGGGATCTGATGAGTTCTGACTCTGTGTGATGTATTTTTAATTTCTCAGAGCTCTCGTTATCTCCATGTGCCTTTTCTTATGGCTTCCAGCTCTTTTTGAGGGATTCATTATATTTCCAGCATTCTGAAGAGATCCAATTATTTTTTTTTTGCCCCGTTTTCTGCAGCCTCTGCATTGTTTCCTCTGAGATACATTTTTCTTTTCATCCTTCCTCCTGCCCGTCCACCTCTGTCTTTTATGTTTAAGCCCTTTCTTAAATGTCTAGTGAGCCTAGACTGTCTTTAATAATGAGGTGTAAGAGCCGTGGTGATGAGGATGGCACAGCACAGGGCCCGGTTCACGTCTGTTATTCATGGGGCCTCTGTGACTCACGGTTGACACATAGGCATCTGTCAACAACTGTGCCCTGGTCGGGAACTCTGGTGGAAGAGTCTCTAGGGAGTTGTACTGCTCACCTGAAGGTGGTGTATCTCTGGAGGTTCAAGTTTTCCAGCTGCTCTGCAGGAGCAAGATGGATGGTCTCCTCATGTGATTTACAGCCTCTGAAAATCTGTTGGAGGGTCATCTTTGGGTGAGAGAGCCCGTGTGATACAGTATGATACATTGTAAGCTGTTAATCAAGATGTTAGCAGTTCAGATCCACCAAAGATAGTCTTCTCCAGTAAAGATTTGCCGCCTCAGAAACCTGAAGAGTGTCACCGAGTCAGCATTGACTAGATGGCAGTGGAGATTTTGTTTGTTTTAGGGTTTGTTTTTTTTTTATAGAGAACCCTGGGTGGCTGTGGGTGGTGGAAGGGGGCAGTGAGGCTTCTTGACTGAAAGGCAGTTTAGGGGCCGTTTTACTGTGTGCACAGCTCTTAGGATCTACATGTTTTAGTTCATTTTCGCCAGGGAAGAGTGCTCCGTTCGCTTGCCCAAATTGAGGGGAATAATGGGGACATGTGTGCCTTAGTTCTTTACTGTGTTACCCTACCCCGAATGTCTCTCAAACTAGAAACCCCCACGGTCACTTTCTCTCTTCTCTTGCCAGCATTGAAGGTCAGGTGCCCACTGCCCAAACTGGAAAGAGCATGGGGCACTGGGAGTGTCCGCTTAGTTCTTCTAGAACTTTCCAACCAAACTCCACCTGCCTGCAGACTTCAGCTTCTGAACTTTCTAAAGGGGGCACTTTGAAATGTAATTTCACTTTGATGAAATTAGCCTGCGTGCCTTCCCCAGTCTACCCCTATCCTTGGCTGTCTTCCTTGGGTCAAGTTCAGCCCCCATGTAGTCCTTTCAAGCTAAAAAAACCCCAACAAACTTTGCTGTCCCTCAGGTGAGATTTTAGGAGGTAGCATGACATTACCTCTTCCATCTTGAGCTGGCTGATTTCAGGACTGCTTGCCTCACTGCCCTGTTCACCACGGTCGTGAGAGCGCCCCCTGAAGGCAGTCCACTGACTGTGACATTGGACACACTCCTGGAACAGGAGCAGTGACAACCAAAGGTCGATTCAGTGAGGGCTTCCTATTCTTCAGTGGCTTGAGAGCAAGTTTTGCACAGAGAGGACGGGGGAGCAAGAAGCAAGGCTCTCTCAGGAGACCTGAGTGAGCAGGGCCCATGGTTGGATGGAGGGAGCCGGCCCTGTCAAGATGTGGCTGTGAGATGTGTCCTCAACTGTCAACCTTGCCTTTCAGACCTTGGCCTGTCTCCACACCTCACGGCGCTCATGGTCGGTGGACAGCCCCTGGGCCACAGCAGCAGCACGGGGGACACTGGCTTCAGCTGCTCTCAAGACTCAGGTAACTCTCACATCTAAGCCTCCCAGAATTGCTTCCCTGAGGCATAGAGCTGGGGAGGGGGCGTTTGCACTCCCAGTGCGGGAGGGGAAAGCCCATGGAGGCAGTCAGTGCGCCTGCACAAACCTAACTGGCTCGTTGCTGCTTCTCTCCTCAGTCTCTCCTTCTGTAAAATGGGGTCACAGTTACTTTTTGTTTGTTTGGTTTTAGTTTTGGTTTTGTTCCTCACAAATTAGCTGAGTTATGAGGTTGAAATGAACTAAAAGCCCATGTAAAATTATAATGGTAAGTGATTGTGGCTTTAATTATAGTGACAGTTGGTGAGTAGGGCTCTGGTGTCACCCTGTATGGTTTTCAATCCCCAGTTGGCTTGTTACGGGCCATGGTATCTTGGGCAAGTTGCTTAATCTCTTTGTATTATCCTAGTTTGAAATGGACAGTTTCCCAGTGTGTGTACTGAGGGCTCTAAGAACTCTGTCAGAGAGTTGTGAGAATTAGAAGGCAGGGTGCATGTAAAGCAGAGGAGATGATTCAGGCACAGCGGAATCGCTTCCCAAATGTCTGATAGCTCTGCTCCACCCTTGAGAAACTTCGTCTTCTCTGAAGAAACACATCTCCACTACAGAGCCTCCACCTCCTTCCCTTAGCTACTGCTACCCAAGGATCCTGCAAACCTAGAGCTGGCCTCTCTCCAGTTGTTCAAGCCTGTCCCTGACTGTTCTTGGGGAGTTGTGAGTACACATCTGGTGCTCACTGAGAGTATTGAGGGGAACTTCATGGACGCCCAGGGAGAATGTGAGGGGAGAGGGCACCATGTCTCGGGATCCACCAGCTGCACAGCCTCTGCCACTGAAGTCGAGCTGTGGAGCCTAGCACATCTGTTACCCACTTGGGCTGGCATTTGTGAGGATGTGGTGGGGAGAGATGTGAGCGCTACATCTCAATGAGGCTGCTATAAAAAGATTGCAAATGTGACAAGAGCTATGAAAGAGGAAACTTCATGGGAACACATGGCAGGGAGTTGTAAGTTATATGGGGTGTGGGAAGCGTCGGGAAAGGCTTCTCTGAAGAAGTGAGGTGGCCTGAAGAATAAGTAGGAAGGAGTCAGGAAAGGAGCCACTGTTGTTCAAATGTGTGACTCTAAACCAGAAAGTTACTGCTTTGAACCGACTAGCTGCTTCTCAGTAGAAAGATGAGGCAGTCTGTTCCTGTAAACATTTGCCGCTTTGGAAACCCAGTGTGAACTCAGCTCCATCATTTACTAGCTATGCCCTTATTAGTACTGACTTCATTTATTTAGCACTTGCTGTATATCAGACGAAGAGGACTGAGGGCATAGAGAATAACCTTTTGGACTGTTGGCTGAAATTTTGGCAATTCTAATGCACCGACCCCGCTGTCTTCTCGTCTTATAAAGATTTACAACTTCAGAAGCCCAATGGAAGGTTGCATCGAGTTAGAACCCACTCGAGAGCAGTTGAGTTTGTGGAACATGGCAAGAAATTGCGTCTCAACTCTCGAAATGCTCACAATTCCATCAGGCAGATTGAAATTACAGTCCCCCTCTGATCGATGTGGAAGGACTCTGTAAGACCATGCAGCCTGCTAGCGCTCTAGTTCTGCCCAGTTCTCTGTGTGCTTCATAGCCACAGTCAGCGCCCCCAGACCAGTGCTCCCTTGGTGAGCGATGCAGTGGCTGCTATGACAGCTTGTTCTGAAACCACACATCAGGAGCTCCAGGTTTCTGATCTTCATTTCCTGAGCACCAGGGCCTTGTTAAGGCAGGTAGTTCAAATCCACCAGCTGCTCCTGGGAATAAGATGGGCAATGTTTTCCAGTGTGATTTCCAGCCTTGGAAAACCCACTGGAGGGTGAATTGACTACACAAGCAGGAGTGGCATCCACTTCCTAAACAACATGCCTCTGGACACTCTATGAACGTTGAGGAACGACAATAGTTATAGAAAGGCTTCAGGTCTTTTGTTCATAGGGTCACAGTGAGTCACAACCACATGCTAACAATCATGGGGACCTGATGGATTGAAAGCTGAGGATTAAGGCAGAACAAGGCTGATTACTGATGTCTGCCCCAGGATCTGGCTAGCGCCCTGTCCCTGTCCTCTTGTCCCAGCTCCCATTATTGTGACTTTACTCACTCTTTTCCTTTATTCATTTTTCAGAGTCAAATTTTTCCATCCTTATTTTGCTTGCCACCGGATTTTCATTGTCAAATTTTATTTATCACAGAATATTTTAACTAGTGATAGCAGTTTGCACTGGAAGAAGACTCACCGCCTACAAAGTTCCCTTTAATAGGACTGCCCTGTCCTCCCTTTGGGGAATAGCTGAGTGGCATAGATGGTTAAAGCTCATCAAAAGGCTGGTGGTTCAAGTCGACCCAGAGAAACTTTGGAAGACAGTCCGTGGCCTGCTTTTGAAAACACATCCATTGCAACCCTGTGGAGCATGATTTTACTCTTAACACTCATAGGCCATTATGAGTCAGAATTGACTCAACAATAGCGGGTTGATGTTGCCCTGTGAAGCCCCTTTCCATTCCTTCCCACTCCCTCCTGGACCCTGATCTGGCAGATTTAGCGCCTGTGTATGTTATGCGGTTCCATCTCTTAGCCAACTGCTCTGGAGAACGTGGCAGTTATTTTCACGTGTGTGAAGCTGTCGTCACACTCCCTGGAAATAGGATGGGTCTTTCTCAGACAAATGCAGCAGAGGAGTGCTCAGCTCCCCATGATAGGGTTCAGTAAATGGGGGAGCAGGCTCCTGGGGAGTTGAAGGAAAAGGAGGGGACCAGATTGATGGAAGGGGAAAGGGGGCTATGTATTGTTGGGATGGATGCAGAGTCTGCACTTCATTTCAGGAACGGATGTGATGCTGCTTGAAGACTATACGTCTGATGACAACCCGCCCTCACACTGCACTTGTCCGCCCAAGCGAAGGAGCTCGGTCACATTTGAGGATGAAGTGGAACAGATCAAAGGTAGGCGTCTGTGACTGACTGCTTCAGACAAACCGAGGAAAGGAGAGTCTTAGGGAAATGCCAACCACGTCCCTTCCTAGAATCTTCTAGGATTTCGACTCTCCATCTCCCAATGCAGGTAGCATCTGAGGCTGGCAAAAAGTGGCTCTCCAACTCTGTGTAGACACAGGCCCCTCCACCTGGATCCTGGCTCACGCCTGCTCCCTCAGCAAACTTCCTGATTGAATGTAACCATTCCTAAGCCTTCCATGGTTCTCTTGGTCTTTCCCTTGTGGATGATGTGCACTTGTTAAGTTTGAGCTTATCTTTGCTGAGCCTCCCTAGAGAATGGAAATGCCATCGTGATTGTTGCCCTGGATGGTGAGGAGGACACTTGGGTCGTGTGAGGGCAATAGTTAATTAGGCTGTCATGTACTCCCTGCACTTTGCCACCTTGACTGTTCTCAGTCCCCAGTATCTTTCTCCCTTCTGGAGCCTGGCATCATTTCCCCCATCCTTAAGTACTGATTGGAAGAGTTACAAGGGTGAAACCATCTAAGTCTACCAGGAAAGTAAGGCTTTCATTTCCTCTGGATCCTGCCAGGTGAGAACAGCCGCCAACATGACTTGGCTGTGGATGTGAAGGAGGAGGATTTCCGGATGGAAATGAACCCAAGTGCTGTTCCTAGGAACGCTGGTAGCCTAGTCCTTGGGGAGCCAAGCTGCTAACCCAGAGATTGTGCTTCTCTCATGGTTCCGATCCAGAGGCTCCAGGGAGAAAGATGGCAGTCTTTTCCTGTGCTAGTCACGGCCTCGGAAACCTGCAGGAGGGTCAGTTCTGAGTCAGCTCCTCTTGAAGACAGTGGCTTTTTTGAGAACTCATAGGTTCATTGCTAATCACACCTTCTCTTCCACCTCCCTTCTGATTTACTTAGAACAAATCGAGAGCAGTCACTAATGTCAGAGACAGAGACAATAATTGCCACTTAATTGGCAAAGTGGCTTGAGGAACCACATCCACAGTGGCTGTCTAATATGTGACCTTCATATTATAAAGTGAATTGACCCCCCATCCCCAGTCCCTCAGCCTGTATCAGCCAAGTTTCCCCTCTCAGGCAACTCTAAGGGGACAGGATCTGAGACAGCACTTCAGTGCACTTGGAAAGGAGATCCAGGGGCCTGTCTGTCTTTATCCATCTCTCTTTCTGTGAGGAATAATGAACCAGGGCAGGGCAGAGAGGTGGCCCTCCCATTTTTTCCTCACAGTGCATAGGCATGGAAGTTAACTTACCATCCAGAAAAACAAGAGGAATGAGTGGATATGTTGTTCCTCCTAAAATGTCCAAAGGAAATAGGATTAATAATAATCAGACACTAAAAAAAATTTTTTTTAAAAAAAAATCGGATACTGAGTAAGAAGTTAAAGGTCTACCAGATTTCTCTCTTCTCTCCAGTTTTGTTTTTTTTTTTTTTTTTTTTTCCAGTTTTGTTTTTAGGAACTCTAGTCCCAGGGAGGAGAGCGTTCACATCCTTTCTTTTATTTCTAATCCTGAGGCTCCTTACGGCTTTGGGGAATCTCTGCATGTGGGAAGGAGAGAGATGGCTTTCGAGTTTATGAACTATATTGACAGCTGCAAATACGGGACTGCTCCAGGGGGCTGAGAAACCAGAAAATTCTTCAAACATAGACATTTTTTAATTATCACCGGCAGGAAGCACTTAACTGAAGTTCTGTCTATGGGCCAGACTGAGGCTAAGCTTCTTAGAGGCGTCTGATTGTACAGTCACAGTGACCCTGTGAAGGAAGAGGTGAACAGTTATTTCCTAACACTGCAGATGAGCACACTGCAGTGAGGCTGAATTAACTGATTTTTCTAAGAGTTCCCAGGTAGTAACTTCTAAGTCCTTGACTTATACATCAAGGACTTATAACTTACTACTTCTGACCTCATAGCCCACACCCAGCACCCCCATTTGCCATCCTCCCTTGCCCCCCGCCCTCCCACCAGCTGCACAGGCAGATTCCCACGACACTCATTGGTCCAGGGTCCCTGGCTAACTCTTCTTCTGCCTTCTTTCTCAGACGCTGCCAAGAACTCCATTCTCCACGTAAAGGCCGAAGTGCACAAGTCCTTGGACAGTTATGCAGCCAGCTTGGCCAAAGCCATTGAGACTGAAGCCAAAATCAACTTGTTTGGGGAGGAGGCTCTGCCAGGGGTCTTGTTCCCAGCTCGAACTGTCCCGGGCACTGGCTTTGCGGGTCGCCGAGGCAGCAGAACTCTGGCGAGCCAGCGGCTCCAGCTGCAGAGCATCGAAGAAGGGAACGTCTTAGCTGCGGAGCAGAGATGAGGGCCTGAGGCGCATGGAGGCCCAGAGCTGGAGAAGCAGTCTGGTGGAGGGATCCCGTGGCCGCCTGTGCCTCGGCCCGTGGGAGCATGGCAGCGTGTACTGTTGTGCAGAGGGGACAGCAACCACCAGCAGGACTGCAAACTGTCTCGCGTCCGTGACTTTCGTGTCTGCAGTCAAACTACAACATGAGTTTGGTTGGGTTTTTCAAGTGCCGCTGCTGGGTCCAGCGGCATCTAAAGCACAGAGAAATGCAGACATAGGTGTGACCCTGACTTTTAGCAAGTGGCACATAGAGGAGACCAGAGACCACGGGCTTGGAAGGAAACCCCCACGCGGATCATTCCACCTTTACAGCCTGTATTCTGGCTCTAGCGTGCACTGATGCTCAGAGCGAGCCCTTCCTGTCACTGAGGGAGACAAGGCTTCCTGACAGCAGGGGTACCCTGAGCTTCCCGAGTGGATCTTGCAAGCGTGGGGGTTTCACTTCTGAGCCAACGCAGTCCCCAAAAGAGAAGGCAAGGCAGGGTATCCCAAGCGGACTTCTCCCTCGTTGTCTCTTGGTTCCGGCCTTGCCCTCAGTGGGCTGACCTCCTGGTGCTGGTCACCGCTGCCCACAGCCCACAGGGCAGACATGTCAGGCCCCCGAGGACAGGCCTGCCCACCCACCCCCTACAGACATATGCTCTGGTATGTCACAAGAAGGGAACAACCACTATAAAACACAGGAGGAAGGGGCACGTCCCCGGGGCTTCATTTTCAGAATTAAAAAAATCTGTTTAATTAGGATACATCACTGTCTTCCCTGAGTGGGGCTATGGGACCAGGAAATGGGAATATTGTTATTATCAGCGGGAGCCCTTGTACAAAGGAAAGCCTAGTGAGATAGAGCCTGTTTGTAATGTTATATGTGATCCAGCAGAGCTGCGGCCTCCAGTTTCTAAGGGATATTCCTGAGCTCAGCAGGTACTGTTCACACAGCCACAGGCAACATACGATAAGCTGGGTGAGTGGGGACTGAGGACTGGCTCCAATCAGCAGCCTGATTTTCAGCTTCCTTCTGCCTCTGACCACATATATTATTTGGGGCATTTTGTCACCTCAAAACAATCTGTGAAATAGGAGAATGGCAGAAGGTTGGATTGAGTGATCACTAAGATCATTCCCAGCTTCAATCTTTGAAAGAGTAGTGACCACTGACCAATGCTTTTATCACATCAAGTGTTTCTAATGCATACATGAACCACCACCGGGCTCCCGGGCCCATGTTTAACCTGTCTGCTCAGAGCACAATACAGAGAGAATCCAGCCCCCAAGTCATAGCTTGAAGAAAGTGAGATGCATCCTCAGAACATGCTGAACAGCGGGAATGTTGGCATGTGAAGTCTTCCTCTCCACTTTGAGGACCTAGTGAGGGCAAGATCTTTTTTTGCTGTGAGGCTGAAACCCAAGGTTGGCTTATCCACCTGAGTCCCCAGTGTACAGTGGCTGGAGTTCTTGTCACCTTCATGGTGCTGGAACTCAACAGCAACTATTCCTGGTCAGCTGGGTGCTGGCCACTGGCCACTGGCCTGGGTTCTGGGTTAGAGCAGAAGTGATTTTCCCAGAGGAGCAAAGGACAGTTTGATTTGTAGGCTCTCCCAAGGAGGTGCACAAGTCAAGCCGACTCTTCTCCTGTTGGGTGGGGTGTCCCTTAGTCTGAATGCTTTGTGTATTCTGTGTATGAACCTTGTTCTCTAAAGGGACCATGTTCTTGATGAACCGGTATGTATACACGTGGCTCTGGGCAGAGAAACCTTTACGTCTGGGTGGGAACAACCTGGGGTAGGTGAATGGCTGGGTAGGCCTTTTTAAGTGCAGTGAATTGGCTTGGAACTTCTCCATGATCCTGATCTGAAGTCAGCTGAGTTTGTCAGGATTTAGTCGCATCGAATCTAGGAAAAAAAATGCACAAAATGATGTTTCCTTATATTCTGCCGAGCTCATCCATTTGTTCAGGGGCCAAATACTGTGTAGGGCACCAAGCGAGGCTCTACATGCTGACTGGGGAGAAGCCTGGAAGATGCCGATTCCTGTACATAACAGACCCAACGAGTTAATAGTGAGAATCATGAGCTCCAGAGGAAAGGGGGCATTTCCACTTAGGAAGTTTAGAGATGACCCTATTGCAGAGGAGACAGTTTGCAACAAGTCCTGATGGATGTTTGGCAGCTAGAACCGTATTTTACATATTCAAGGATCCAACTCTGCTTTGATTCCCCAAGACAGTGGGGGAAAGAACATCCACATGCATTCTGGAGTTTGTGAGAGGTGGCGTTTTTCAGGACAAGTTTCCTCAGTGTAGAAAGTCTTCAACTGTCCCCACTGCACCCAGACTCATTAGGCCAAGGCTTTCTAAGGGGGACACGCAGACAGTGGCAGGTGGTACCAGCCACTTGATAGCAACGATACCTTATGACTTCCGGTTTTGAGAGGACCACTTTAGGGCTCTTACATGTCTTCTTTCTTTAAGATCCCATTTGCCTGAGTCCCTGGACACCTCAGTACCAGGTTTGAGAGCTGTGTGTCCCAGAAGGCCCTGGGAGCGCCGCAGTAGCAAGCCCACAGCTCAGCACGCAGCCTTGGCCCCTGGCCACAGGCACCGGCACTTGTACTGAGGGCCTGAGACGCCAGGTGGCAGCAGCGTGGCTGAGATCCACAGGCAGCTCCCCAAAGAGAAGAGCGAAGGCTAGACCTTCTCCCTCAGGCTACTGGGCCTGCTTGCCCAAAACCAAAACAATTCTAAGTTATGCTAATAAAAGACTTCTAAGTTGGCTATCAATAATGGCAAAATTCCAGGGTCTGCTGTAAAGTCCCACAGCACAGCACAAGTTCAGCTACATGATCTCAAAATTACATTTATGCCCAGAATGTGCCTGTGTGTCCTGAGAACACCTCTGCCTACAATGAAGGGCTTGGTGTGGGCTGTTGGGAAGGGAAACTGCCCAGTCCTCACCCCTGAGGGATAAGAAAATGACTTTGACCACAGACAAAGGGTAGGCTGTTCCCTCACTGTGTTGGGAAGAAAGGGCCCATGGAATCTGGGGAAGTGAAGTGACTTGAAGGTCTCAAATAAGGCAGGCCAGAATAAGTCAAGGCCAAACTCCATCTTGGTCATGTGGCTGAGAGGAGAAAGTCCTCTATTTTGTATTCCAAGGAAGGCGGGGTAGAACTGAAAGGTATTCTCAGAAAAGACCAGAGGGCTTTATTAGGTCAGTAGACAAAATACAGTAACCCAAGGAGTTTGGGAGCCAGAAAGAGTATCTGTTTGCTAAACCTGAAAAATCCCACAGGCCCAAGGAAAGTGGATTCACTAGAATGAATTCAAAGCACAAACTCCAAAATGCGCACACAGTTAAAAAGAGCACAATTTTGGTCCGTGTTACCTTGAGGATAACAATCATCAAAGCTATGTTCATCCCCTTGGAATTTTTCAGAGCAGTATAAAGTAACTTAGGGATTAGAAGCTGCTTCTGTTTGTCTTCTGAACAGTGCCATTTTGAAGCACACAAATCACTGACAAGTCAGCCCCTCTCAGAGGAACAAGAGTCCTGGGAAAGTGACTATCCTGGGTGGGCCAGGCCACACCAAGTCGGGGGAGGAGGAGAGATTAATGTCTGGGATGGGGTCTGTCAGTCAGGGCTGCTTTGATAATGGACCCCTGGCTGCAGAAGCGGTTAAAAGCCAATGCAAAAACAAGCTACTTGTGAAATGTATTTAACTTGAAGTTTTTGGATATTTTTTCCCCTTATGAAAATGCTTAGGATTACTGTAAAGCAATATTTATAAATAAGTGCATTTAGAATAGTTTTGTTTACCTGATTAAGATATGTTTTGGTATGTGTATAGCTCTGAAAATTGTGTGTGCTGTGAAATTTTCTGAGTTCCCCTGCAACTCTCCCATTCCCCACAAAGCTTCTCTGCCCAGGATGCACATCTAAAGGGAGGGAGCCTGCACACGCAGCAGATCGCTGGAGAAATGTGTGTAAGGGTGCCAATATCAGATTCAACCGGACCCATTCATCATGCATTTTGGTAAACTTACCCTGGGCCATTAAATATTGTTAAATACATCCGTGCTGCTTGTTATATACTGTTGATCGAGTTCCAATTATGATGACTCAATGTACAACCGAACAGAACCCTGCCTGACAGTGTGCCGTCCTCACATCCCTGCTGTGCTTCAGTCCACTGTTACAGTCCAGTGTCGAGCCATCCTGTGGAGGGGGTTCTCTTTCACTGACCCTCCACTGTCCCAGCATGATGTCTTTTTCAAGGACTGGTTTCTTATAAGCTCATCCCAAAGTGTATGAGATGAAGTTTCATCATCTTTCTTCCAAGGAGCACCCTGATGACACTTCTCCAGGACAGATTTGTTCTTTTAGCAGTCCTTGGAGTATTCAGTGTTAACCAATACGCTGTCAGTGACATACATACATCTAAACCATAATCAAAGAGGGCAGATGGTGGATAATCATGGAACCGGAAAGCCATCTATCCAGAATGCCCACTTCCCTTACCTAACCCCTTCACCTGCCAGTTGTGATTAGGTGCTTGAGCCAGCTCCACCCCCTAGCAACCTGATGTGTAAGAACAAGCCCCTGCCTGGTCCTATGCTGTCCTCACCATCTGAGGGGCCAGCCCCTAGTGTCATACTGTTTAGTGTGGGGTTTTTTTTTCTGAGCAGAAAAGTGAGATCTAGTCATCTAAGTCTTCAGTGCCCATCCAGCCCAAATATTGGAAGTCAAGACTGACTGGTCAGCTCTGCTGCCTTCCTACTTGTCCAATCTGCCTTGCTCCTGAGTTAAATAACAAAGCATCAACATTGCTAAAGGCAATTCCTTCAGCAAGTATCTTTTAGCTTGTCTTCTGTTGAGTCACTCCAGGACTTCACCGGGTCCTCCTATAGCCCCTGACCTATGTGTTTCTCAAGCCCCTCTGTACCGTGACTACAGCAGTTACTGTAGCAACAGTGGAAGGAAAAACAGCCAAGTCCTTCACCCTCCATATGTTCTGCTAAAACAGTCCCGGTGGACGTATGATTACATACATATTATGCACAGCAGCACAGAGGAGTCAGCTTGACCAGGATACATAAGTAGTTGGAAAGCAGAAGCTAAAGTTCTTGAACTTTTTGGAAATGATGAAGTTGCCCACTTTGGCTAAAGCTCAGGTTCCTTTTTGGACCATTTCTCCACTTTTCTTAATAAGGATGTATATTGCTCTTTCCTGGGTTAAGAGCTAGACTGAAATTCAACTGAAGCAAACAGTTACTCTGCACAAGTCAGTTCCCTTCCTTCAGTAGCAGGTCCCTGGACTTAGAGCCCTCTTGTGGTAAAGACTCTTGATCTTAATATAGGGCACAGATGATTTGCTTAGCCTGAATATGAAATGGCCCAGACAAAAAACAGTATTTCTTATAACTTAGTGCCTCTCTTTGGGATATTTGTTGTTATGTACCATTGAGTCAACTATGATTCATTGTGACCCTATACAACAGCTTTGAAGCCTGCCCTGGCCCGAGCCAGTTTCACTGACTCAGATATACCTATGCCTATAACCCCAGTATCTGTGCCAATCCATCTCAGCCAGGGTCTTCCTCTCCGCTGTCCCTGCACCCTTCCAAGCATGATGTCCTTCTCCAAGAATTGGTCCATCCTGGCTACATGTCCAATGTATGTGATATAGAGCTTCAAAAATCCTTGCCTCCAAGGAGAAACTTAATTTCACTCTCTCACAGACTGTCCTCTTGGAAGTCCATGGTATGTTCAATATTCTTCTCTAGCACAACTCAAAGGCATCAACTCTTCTGTCATCCTTAGTCCTTGTCCAGCTCTCTGATGCACAGCAAGTAACTGCAGAGTATGGCCTTAAGTCTCTAGACTGACATCATTACTCTTTAGCACTTTGGAGAGGTCTCTGACGGTAGACTTCCCCAATGCAATGTGTGTTTTGATTTCCTGACTGCTGGTGCAAGTATAGAGTGTGGTGCCAAACAAGCTGAAATTGTTAGCAAACTCAGTCTCTATCATATGCTATCATTTGGTCCAGTGGTGAGAATCTTTGTCTTCTTGATGTTGAACTTCAGTCCATATTGAAGACAATAGTCATTGACCTTCTGCAGCAAGCACTTCAGGCCCTCCTCAGCTTCAACAAGTAAGGCTGTATCATCTGCTAATACAGGTTGTTGATAAGTCTTCCTCCAATCCTGATGCCACATTCCTCTTTATAAAGTCCAGCTTCCCAAAGGATTTGTCCTGCAGATAGACTGAAAAGGTATGGAAACAGGACACAGCCCTGACACACTCTTTCCTGATTTTGAACCATGTAGTATTTCCTTGCTCTGAGGACTGCATCAAGTATAGGTTTTGCATAAGCACAATTAAGTGTGAACCATGTAGTATTTCCTTGCTCTGAGGACTGCATCAAGTATAGGTTTTGCATAAGCACAATTAAGTGTTCTGGGATTCCCATTCTTCTCAAGGTTAGCCACAGTTGACAGAGAACTACTGGAAATACAAGCCAGGTTTAGAAAAGGCTGTGACACTAGAGACATCATCATCAATGTCAGACAGATCTTGGGTGAAAGCAAAGAGTACCGGAGGAATTAGGATATTTAGGTTGCTGAAGATAAAGAGGAACATTTTAACCTCCTGGTAATTGAACAATAAAACATGTATCACTGAAAGGTTTCTGTTTCAACAAAACCATTAACTCTCACAGAGAGGGGCCCACATGATCATGACAGACCACTAGATTTTCATTAGCAGTCTCTTTTTAGCCACTATTGCAGTCACACATGTTCTGACATCCACCTTGCATGTGGTCAGGAGATGACGTTCAAAGCTAGCACTGTTGTGGGTAGATGAGGGACCACAGGGTTCTTCTAATCCTGACATTGTCACCATTTCTTTTTTTTTCTCTTCTTTCATCAGTTTCATTTCGGCAACAGTGGATGACTCTCTAAATTAGTCTATCATGTAATTAAGTCTCTTCTCTAATTGTTATCTGGATGAAGACTGTTACCGGCTTGAGTACAGGTCAAAGGGAAGTGCTTGGGGAGTGCCATTAATGAGAGACAGTTCCTAGAGCTCACTGACTGGAAACTCAAGCATTCCCCTGATTACCAAGCCCTCTCTTAAAGGAAGAAACCAACGTGCCACTCCAGAAACATATCACAGCAAATACTCTGTGAGAGTGTGTGTGTGTATGCAAGAGAAGAGGAAGGTAACAAGATTCAAGGCTGTTGAGTCAGAACAGATTCCCAGCTGACCCTCCTTCTGAGGAGATGCTGGTGGATTCCAACCACAGGGAGGTGTGGCCCTGGAGTCAGGAGTCGGGAGGGGCACACGGTTTGAATCCACCAGCTGCTCTGCGGGAGAAGGACCAGAGCTCCTGTCCTGTGTGATGTACGGCCTCTGAACACCCGCTGGAGGGTCAGCTGCAAGCCAGCTCTGACTCCATGATACATAACAACTAGTGTTTGGTTAGTTGGTCTGAGGCCTGGCCCTCAGAGCCTCTGAAACCGTCAGTCTTTGGGCTCACTAGAACTTGACCCACCCTTTGCTGTGCTTGCATTCTGCTTCCTAGGTATACAATGAGGCAGCGTGACAGGAGTGACTTCTGAAGGAGACTTGGGCCATCAGGAAAGTAGAAACGAGAACCCACGGCTATACAATATTCTTATATGGATGACAAGAGGCGAGGAATTGAAAAATATAAAAATAAGAGAATAATTTTGTATCAAGAAAGTATTTTTACTTTAGAAATAGAGAAAAGAGACTCCGGCATGCGTCTAGGTGAAGGTAACCGCAGTTCCAGCAGAGTGAGTATCCAGGCGGTGAGGGGGGTGGCTGCTGGGCGGGGGCTGGAGCCACAGTGTCAGGTCTGAAAGATACAGCTCTGGGTGTGCAAGGCTCAAGAATGGAAGGTGATTCTCGGCTTATGAAGATCTGGAGGCAGAAGACTAGAGAGTTAAAACTTTGAGTTGAAACTAGATGTTGGAGAAAAGAGTCCAGAAGTCTCTGACACACACACACACACACACACACACACACACACACACACACACACACACACATATTTATATAATGTGTTGATTCTACATGCTTCCAGTGGTTAATGCTTGGAGCCCGACACCTGCTCATGCGTAACGAGGTACCAGGAAATCATCGTGAGATGATTGGAGGTGATGATTGGAGTACTCTGGAAGGAGAAATGAAAAGAGTCTTTTTTGGACCATCAAGTTGGAAAAAGCTAAGAAATCTAGAGAACAGGGAAGGATCGTCCTTTTCTTTTATAGAACAGATTGGGAAAACACGGATCAAAGTAACAAAGTGGTAAAAGTCAGACATTAAATAAAAGTCAAATTCAGGCTATATTAAAACAACCAACGTCTTTAATTAGAAAGCAACAAACATGCAAATGGCAAGTATAGAAATTTTATTTGAACCAACATTTTCACTATAATGAAAATGACTCTTCAACATTGATCCAAGCTCCCACATCTGAAGGTTAGGGGAAATATTGCACTTTGCATGGTCTAGCACTCCTCATTCACGGCAGAAGTTTTTAAAATGGTTTGCTGATCTTGTTTTACACACACTCCCAAATTCATGCACACAATCGCTCCAAACCAATGTTAAGTTATCCCATAAAAAAGGGAAAAACTCCAAAAAACCAAAACCTTAAAATTGCACTAAAGCTCTGTAAAGGGGAAAAAAAAAGTCTTATACAAATTCCAGGACATCTAAGTGCTTGCCAACAAGAGCTGATTATTCTTCATCTTCATTCTCATTTTCCTGGCCAGAGCCTTCTGATCTGTCACCCTCCAAGCGATCTGGAAAACACAGGATAATCAACAATTTTTTTTACATTTAGAATTAACTTTCAAAGTTTTTTTTCCTTACAACAGATTAAAGACACATAGAATAAATGATCACTGCATAAAGGTGTTACTTTTCACTAGCCTCTTAGTACTCACTGGTGAGTGGCCTATGACTCCTGGTGATCCCAAGAGCAGAAGAAATACTGTACTATCAGCTTTGAGTATGCATATAATTCTAAAATGTGTACTAGTAATTAAAAACTCTAAATATCTCAAATCATTGTTTCCAGACTGTATTCCTTGGGGTCTAGGGTCATAATGAGGCCTATCAGATGCCACCGAGGAGGCTGCATCTGGGGTCCACCTCTGAGGACCTGTTTGTAAAAGATGTTTTAAATGAAACACCTTTTGGGTTCTAGGTATTGTGCTAAAACCTGAAGATACTAATGGTGATCAAAACAAATACATGTGGTCTCTGCCCTGAACAAATGTATCTGGATTAAAGTCTTAACATGAATATATAATTAAAAAGTATGGTGAGTGTTTTCTCGTGCAGGCAAACCTCTAGACATTTAAAAATAAAGTCTCTGGACATGCTCATGCAGCCACCTTGTGCTCTAACCGGGCTGTCTGCCATCCTCCAAGCCCACTATGTTCTCTCAAGCTTCCATGATTTATACTTGCTGTTCTTTTGCTTGGGAACAATTCTTCAGCTATGAAGGATCTGCTTAGCTGTCTCAATAAATCCATTATTCCTTTTATGAACTGTTTCCCTTACTTCTTTAAATACTGAACATGGTGAATTTTGAACTCAACCCTCCATCTCCAGTATATCTTGTATGAACATTGAATAATGATCTTAATTGCAGTAATAGTTTGCATGTCTTCTTGATAACTACACTATCAGCTCTGAAGGAAGGGCAAGACTTTCATCTTTTATATTTAAATCCTAAGAGTCTAGCTCAGGATGTCCAATGAGTAAGTAACCATGAAGTTTACTGAGAGAAGAAACATTACATTAGGGTATAAAAGAATCATTACTTATTGACCTAGTGGTCAGAATCTACTCTGAAGTCTGGAAGGCATGCAGTCTGAATCCACCAGCCACTCCACGGGAGAAGGACGGGCAATCTAAAAACCTGCTGGAGGGTCAGCTATGGAATGGTTTCAACTCAACGGTATACAACAATAACAACATGAATATAAGAAAAAAAAAGAAGGTAGCAGCATAAAACCACTACATTAGGATGAAACCCTTCTGAAAATATTAAGGCTCATTAGATACAGGGGTATTGTTTTGTCTCACTGTTAACAGAAAAAGAAGAATTCCTTACCTACATGTTGTGGTAGTCATTAGGTACTGCTGAGCTGAGCATGACTGACAGTAACTCTATGAACAACAGCTCTGAACCCAGCCCTATTCTTATCATCTTTGACACACCTGAGCCCATTGCTGCAGTCAATGTGTCAATTCATCTTGTTGAGGGTCTTCCTCTGTCTTGCTGACTCTGTCCATCTTTCCCAGCATGATGTCCCCTTCCAAGGAATGGCTCTTCCTATAATATACCAAAATGTATGTGAGATGAAGTTTTGCCGTCCTTGACTCTAAGGAAGACCTTGGTTGCACTTTCTTCAAGTCATATTTGTTCTCCAAGACATATTTGTTCTTTTTGCTGTCCATGAGATATTTAGTACTCTTCTCCAACATTACAACTCAAAGGCTTCGACTGTTCTTCTGTCATCTTTATTCATTGTCCAGCTCCCAGATAAATAGCAAGTGACCTAAAAGACCATAGCTTGAATCAGGTGCATCAAGTCTTGTAAACAGACACCACTGTTCCTTAGGACTTTGGAGAGGTCTGTGACATTTCTTTTCCAATGCAATATGTCTTTTGATTTCTTGACTGCTGGTACGGAGTGTGTTGATTGTGGATCCAAGTTAAGATGAAACAACTGACAGCTTCAATCTTTTTTCCAACTATCACGATCTTGCAATCAGCACAATGGTGAGAATTTTTGTTTTCTTGATGTTGAGTTAACTACTATATACTATAGTTCATTATCTGCAGAGGCTTAACATACTTCAGTTGAATCCTAGGCCGCAGGGAAAGTACACAAAGGAGACTGTATCATTAATGGTCCTAATGAGTTAGATGAAGTCATCAGCACTAACTTCAAGGGAACACTGGTAGCCTCATAGTAAGGAATCGCACTGCCAACCCAAAGGCAGGCAGTTCAAATCCACCAGCTGCTTCAGGGGAGAAAGATGGGCTATCTCTTCCTGTGCAATTTACTCTTTCTGAAAATCTGCTGGGAGGTCCTCTCTCAGTTGCTTTTTACTTGATGATGTATAACAGTAACATGCTGGCTTCAAGGAGCCCTAGTGGCACAGTCATTAAGAGCTAGCCTGGAGGCTAGTGGTTGAAACTCACTAGCTGCTCTCAGGAGAAAGAGGTAGCAATCAGCTTCTAGGAAAGTTTACAGCCTAGGAAACTCTATGGGGGCAGTTCTACTCTGTCCTCAAGGGTCTCAGGGACCCACAACTGACATGGTAGCAGTAAGTTTGTGTTCTGTTGTTTTGTTTTTTTTTTTAAATGCTGACTTCATTCTAATGTTAATTAAAAAAATTTCGTGTTTTATATATATTAAAAAAATCAATGTACTGGCTTCATTCTATGAGCAGATGACTTAATTACATATGGAGCACAATGTCTTTATGCAGATAGTGGTCCTTCTTGATAACAAGCCCAAAGTATCTGTGATGAATTCTCACTATCCTTACTTCAAAGTTCTTGCTGCACTTCTTCTGAGACAGATTTTTTTTTTGGCTATGGTTTATTGAATATTCTTTGCCAGTCCTGTGATTCAAAACTGTAATTCTTAACTGGTCTTCCGAAGTTACTGTCCAATTTTCATAAGTAGATGAGGTTACTAAAAATATCATGGCTTGGATCGAGTGCAAAGTCTTTGAAGTGACATGCTTTTCTTAAGCACTTTACGAAGTTTGTGCTGTAGCTCTGCTTAATGCAATATGCTATTTGATTCTGTGACTGGCTTCTATGGGCACTGGCTGTGCATCCAAGTAAAATGAAATCCTGACAGTATGAGTCTTTTCTTCTTCTATCATGATGTTCTTTATTGGTCCAGCTGGGGTGAATTTTTTGGTTAAAGTGTAATCTATACTGAACTACATAATCTTTAGGTTTCAACAGTAAAAACTGACATACTCAGGATCAAATATGTGGACAATGTATCATCAACTGTTTAAGGAATTAGTGAGACAATATGTGTGTGTGTGTGTGTGTGTGTGTCTATGTGTGTATCTATCTACCTACCTATCTAATTTCTAACCCAAATTACCAAAAAATGTAGCTATTATTATGTAAAAATATTCAAGGCAAACTTGTAAAGTCAATGAACGAAGTAAGAGTTGAAGAGACTATCAAGCAAGCATCATTGAGTAATTAAAACACAGTGAAATGATTTCTGATCATTATTTGGCTACCTAAGGGAGCTAAAGGGAGCTCTGGTAGCCTAGTGGGTAAGTAGCTATGCTGCCAACCCAAAGCCAGGTTGTTTGAATCCACTGGTTGCTCCACACACACAAATGGGCAATCTCCTACTGTCTCTGAAAACCCACTAGAGGGCTTTCACAATGAGGGGTATAAAAAGAAATATAAAAATGTTTGTTATGTGATTTTAGAGAATACAACATTATGTTCCCATTCTATTAGTACATTTTATTAAGTAGGAATCCTGAATATGACAGGCTAGCTACATTACAATCCCAAAGGCTTGTTGTTCCTATCACCAGCTGCTCTAAGGGAGAAGGATGGGAAACCTCATCCTGTGTGATTTGCTGCCTTAGAAACCTGGGTAGAGGGTCAGCTCTGGATTGGTTCCAAACTGATAGCACCCAACCACCACCACCACCACAGCACACTCACTCCTCACTGACACAGTTCCTAAGACCAACTTGTGAAGCAAAAACTGGTATTATGTGGAAATGGAAGCTGACCTTAGGTCACCAAATGGAAAATAACGGTCAAATGACATTATTCTATAATTGTTAAACTTCTGAGAATCATGGTGCAGTACAGGTCAAAACCAGCATTACTCTTGTCTCACTGCGAAGCATACAGAATGTCAGATGGCACACTGTTTTATTATTATTATAATATGAAATGTCAAATAATAAAATAATCTGCATTAATGAGGAGTAGGTATGTACGTAAAAAACCCACTAAGTCTTATCAGTGGAACCTGAGAAAGCACCAAAAAGCTTCTTACCTACACTTCTTTTGGTTGTCACACTATATGTGGAGACATGGAAATAGATGATTAAGAAAAATGCTACAGAAATAAAAGCAATGTACAAAGCAAGAAACAGATACAATTGAGGGTCAAAAGTTTCTTACATGTCACAAAGTAACTGTCAGAGGTTTCTGGAAGGAGGAGAGCAGGAAGGAGAGCCACTCATTCCTCCCTGGCTCATTCCTCAAAACCAACGTGCTCAACTGCTGTAGTGTTTCTTGGAAAACAGACTCACTGAGTGACTAAATTGAATAAATTCTGTTCATAAGTGCTATTGGAGTGAAAATGCTATTCAATACTATCACATATTTCTGCTTAGCAATTATAGTTGAAAGACCTTTGAGGAATGCTGTGTTCTTCTAAGTCAAAATAAGAACCCTTCCTATAGCCATTGTTTTCAAAGGCAGAGAAGGCAAAAAACTGCTTTGTATAGAAGCTTAAATTTGTGGAAAGTTCCCTTTATTATCTATGAGAAATACTGAATCAGGAATATTTGGCCAGGGAAGGTATGATATGAAGAGATTACATTTCTTACCTAGAACATATTGTAGGGGATGAGAGGAAGGCAAGTAGAAAAGAAAGAACAGGAAGGGGAAAAAGTTTCTAAAGGAAACCTGTGTTCCACAAAAATACGAGTTTTGTTTTCTAAGATTTATTCTACAAAAAAAGTTATTTTCTGAACCCAAAATCTCTGTAAA